CCAGAAAAAAGAGTACTTTGCATGAACCAAAGTTTCTCTGAGGCAAATTGTCAAATGGAGTACATTCATTTCATATTCTGACTTCCAAAAAGTAGTCAAATAGACTAATTTTGAATTACTTTCTAGCTGAACCTCAGCTGCTAGAAAGTTTATAAAAGAAATTAGTAAAATTATTATGGCACTTGGATAGTCTAACACCCATGTGCTATTCCAGGAAAGTAACCATATTGTTTTTCTAGCAAACATTCTAGTTTCCAAAAGATGAATACTACACATTTCTCAGACTTTTAAAATTTATCTTTAAAAAAAAAAACCTGTAATTTATTTTCCCAAAACAAAATATTCATAGTAATTTAAAATACTTCAAATAAACTAAATAATCCAAATATATCTAAAAAAATGTACCTAACTAAACCATCTTAAAATAAGTGCTTGGGTGACTCTACTGAATGGAAACCAAATGAGAATATGTCTCCCCAGTCCTAAAATTTATTATATTAGGTTGGGATAGTATTGTCTTCAAAAAAAATGCAAGAGTGTGTATAGCCTTGGTAGAACATGGAAGAATAAGCATATGTTTTATCTCATGTCACTCACCCAACTCCAGTGAAATTGGAGGACAGGACAGGACAAAAGAGCACAAATCCATAGAAGTTGAGGTCACAGATACTACCGAATGTGAAGTTGGGCAAACAACTTGATTGGTGGGAATTATGTCTAGACCTACGAGATGCCGCTGGCATTTCCTCCATGCGGACAGACGAATGGAAGTTTTCTCTCTGAGGAGGAGGAACCACAAGATACTCCGGACTCCGAGAACATTAACCCACAGATGCAGGGGTAATGGGTGCCACAGTGGCGCGGAAGGACCAAGTACAAGTGTCCCACTGCATGGCAATACCGCTGGCCCAGAGACCCACTCAGTTCTGGAAGGCAGCAGCCAACAGAGAATTTCCTTCTGGGGAAAGTGACCTGTTCACAAACACTGATAAGCAGATGTTGGCAGTTGTGGATTTCCCAGTAAATAGCCCAGACCACTGAAGTGGGAAGAGGTCCCAGCTGTGACATTCAGGCATGCAGAACTTCCAGGCAGCCACATAGTGCCTCACTCTGAACACACGAGCAGCTAAGCAACAGTTAACACTAGGGAAATATAGAAGAAAAATATAGAAGAAAATATAGAAATAAATATAGAA